TGCTGATGGACTTGAGGTCATGGTGCTGAAGGACTTGACCTTGGGGTACTAATGGACTCAACATTTGGGTGCTGACGGACTTGATGCTGGGGTGCTGATGGACTTGACCTTAAGGTGCTGATGGACTTGATCTTGGGGTGCTGATGGACTTGACCTTGAGGTGCTGATGGACTTGATCTTGGGGTGCTGAAGGATTTGACCTTGGGGTACTGACAGAGTTGACGCCGAGGTGCTAACGGACTTGACTTTGGGGTTCACTGGATTTCTAACTGGATCAAAACGGCGCCTCATTTGAAAGCTTTCTCTTATATCCTGAAATAAGTTTACCAAAACACCTCAAAACTTTTTAGATGAAAAATAAGTCATACAGTGGCTCATTTGTTTTAGCTTTACATCAACAGCAGTTCGTTTAAAAGTTTTTCTGGAATTTCCAGAGGCGGCGAGTTGCGACTAGAAACACCTGATTTGCATAAAGTTCCGTAAATATACGGACCCTAATGCAGTGTGGTGACTTAACCCTCTGTGCTTTCTTTATTTATTCAGTCACTTGTTTTCTTTATTTTTATTTTTTTTATGATTGTGTTAACATTACCAGATAGTCTAAAGTACCTAACTCAACGTAAACTAATCTCAAACCTTTTTTCTTCTGGTTTTATGTTTAAAATAGGTTCCTAAAAATGATCAATAATCACCTATATCGACTGAATGTTTTATGTTGATGAATTATTCAGCTGCGTCGCTCAGCTCTAGATAAAACGCAGAGATGCAGAAAAGGTCGTCGTACGAGTGACGCCGAGCCCAATGAAGGAGTATCGGTTGTTATCCCGTTTGCTGGTGTTTTCTATCTGCACCAACATGCTGCTGCGCTGGAACACTGAACTGTCACATAGCTGACAGTCTGATGCTTGTCGCCTGCAGCGGCTCTATGGACTGATGTGGAAGCCAGTTGGCAGAGGCAGCGATATTTACCTTTGAGTGGCAGTCAGTAAAAACCCCGCCTTATCCTTTTTATTTTTTTTTGCCGCTTTGACAGCTTAGATTTTTTTTTTTTTTTTTTTTTTTCTCTCCTGCAGCCTGCTGACACTTTTCCTGACATGTTTGCCCACAAAGTAAATGAAAAGCAACTGTCATTTTCAAAGCAGTATCAGCAACTTATTACATTGTAAAATATGCGCATTCGCCGTGTGTCAAGAGGTGTTTCTTCACAGGTGAGCATCATGACTCCTCCGTCGTGCAGCTGTCATGTCGGATGTCCTGCGTCCTCCTCCCACATCCCACCCTGACTGGGAACATTATATCCATACGTTGGGACCACAGAGGAGTTTTAATAAGATGCTACAAGCGCGGCAATCATGATAAATCAAGCTATTTAAGAGCTTAATTTAATGCTCTGTTAATCCGTCTGACGTATTCCGAAAAGGGCAAAGGGAAGCATAAGTGAGAACGAGACGCTGCTACAATTAAAGCCAAGGTAAAATGTGAAGGACAGCTCGCGTTGGCATTTAGGCTCAGTTATAGCAACTGGTGAACTTAACAGGCAATTATGGTGTTATGTTTCCCAGAGGCGACCAGTGTTTGCTGGTGTGAAGTATTAAAAACACGCCGGCCTACAGGAGAAAAGACAAACCTGTGGCTCATTTAGAGGCAGTAACGCAGACAGTGTAATGTTTATGAGACCTTCTGAATGTTTGTAGAGAAGCAGGGTGCTGCTCTGCATATAATCCCTGCATTAGGAAGCACAGAAACAAGAGGAAAATAGGTTCTCATGCACTGAGTACCGTGACTGTAGGACAGATTTTGGCAGAGAGCTAAAGGAATACTCTCTGCACAGTATCCTGATATACAACAGATAATAAACAAGCATATA